TACTTAAAATTAATACTTGTTAGCTGTTTGGTCACCGTATGATGAAAATTCCATATTTTGTAATAGGTAAAATTATTATTTCCACCCCAAAGCAGAGTAGATGCAGGTGAAATATCGACAAGGGATGGTTACTGTTGCTCTATCTCTGTAAAACTAAATCAGTTCTTGAAGTGCACAACATTCAGGCTCATAACTTTTGGAAATGTGAAAGAAATTATTGCTTATTGGATTAAAATGAAACAAATGTTTGTTTTTGTACATTATTGGCCAGGCCTGCAACAAGATAAGTCCTGTATATTGTCATTCTGATCATAGATACTGTGTGATAGAAAAATCATATTGATAACAATGACAATAAACCATACAATAGGAGATTCTAGTAGTAGTTGAATATCATAATTAATGTGCAGGAGCTATAAGAAGAGCAATGGAAGGACCCAGATTTATCATAGGTACTCTTTACTATGCAGTAAGGTGAAGCATGGCCAGTGCAGATTATAGGACATAGTGCAGATACAGGTAACATGTGATACTTGCACGAGCTGTCACAGTGCAGGAAAGAGTACTGTACTGTTATAATAACCCATCGAAACATTGGCATAAATTTGCATCAAGACATTAATCAGTGGTGCAAACATTGTATGGCATGTGCTTCCCAGAAGAAAAACCTTTAGGGATAATGAAAATTCCATCAGAGTTGTTGGTTCTTCATTGATATTACTTGTAATTGATATCGATCATTATCAGTTACTTCACCAATGGACTGAAGCTTATTCATTGACTGATGCATTAGCACAGTCCATTTCTGATGTATTGGTGTAAAACTGCATATCTTGATTTGCCTTATTTGAATGCAAAGAAAGACAATTGTGTTGTGTTGTACTGAAAACAATAACACACCTGAAGAAATTCACACAAAGCAAGAAGCTAATATAAATAGTCAGTTAATCTCTGAGTTGTACAAAGTGCTGCATGTTTTGAAGGCACAAATAATCTTATCGTCCCTTTTCTGATGGTTTGACACAAAGGGCAAAATAAACTATCAAGTGGATGCTTGGAAAGTTTGTTAATCTCTGTATAACTGACTAGGATGAACACTTAACAACCATGCAAATGAGCAGAGATCGACTGGTTATTCATTGAACATGCTTATGCTTTTGAGAGACACAGCTTCTCGTATACATGATGCATGGTCTGTCTATTACGGCAGATGTACCACAATGTCTACAAATATGTGAGGAGTGTTTGAGTTCTGATTTAGTTGACACAATGAGTTTATGCCTGAACAGCTAGGAAAGGCTGTCATACAGTATAAATGATGTTACAATAAAATAGTTAAGGAATGGATCATGGAGCTTCGGTTTGGTTTTAGTATATGCCAGCAACACAGAAGAAATTCACTTTTAGCTAGACAGGTCCTTATCTCATTTTCCAGCAAATTAATTTGTCAAACTATGAGCTACCAATAAATTTGATTAATGGAAAATTTAGTATATTGTTTTATTTGTATATTAGATTTATCCAAGGGATTTCACAAACCACGGAGCTATATTGTAAGCTATATTTTTAATATTTTAATTTAGGTGTTTGCTTGTTAAAGGAAACATGTTATTACATACTGATGATGAAATATCTTGAAATTTTGTGAAAGTTAAGAATCTAGAAGTTTAAGTAATATGTAGTAATAACAGTATAATACAAATACCAGGCTAAGTGAATTATTGAGTAATCAACTGAGTGATTCAGTTCACAGTCAGTTAGTTAGTTAGACAGCGAGAGCTAATGCATCTATTTGCCTGTGATTCAATTAGGCAGTGAGTTTGTCAGTTTGTTTGCTATCGATCAATTGAAAAGGAAATTCTCCAAGTGCATTTATAAGAAAGTTAAGCTTACATTACGTTTAAAGTTTCTGTTGAAAGTTATTTGTGAATGAAACGATCATAACTTGTAGAAAAAGCTACGTAAGAAATATATTAATTCATTATTATTATATGGACAGGGCTTGACATTACTTGACTATTACAATATATATCCAAAAAAATCTGCCCAATGATAGAATAAGTTACAACAATATATAAAGAATAACTCCTTAAGGGCATGAAAAACTCCAATATTTGAAAGAGAAATCTTACATGTTACGGAAATGTCTGTACTACTTTTCTTTTAATAGTGGTCGATTGATTGTTGCGTATGATTGCATTCTTGTGTTTGTAATGATGGTAATTTTGATTATTGTTAATATGACAAATAACTATGGCATAGTTATAACTTATCAAGTTTGAAACATTTTTACTAATTATAAAAAGTTTCTATTTAAGTTATTGTTTTTGATATGAAATAAAGACAATTATTATTTGGAGGTAAATATGTACATGCCCCGATTGTTTTTGTTTTTTTATGGAACTGTGACATATTCAAGTTAAACTGAGTTAACCCTAAATCAATGGGCTAGGAGACTCAAGAAGATATTTATTGCAACATAATTTGGACTTCTTTGACTTTGACCGCGTTTGAGAAAGAAAAAGACTGAACACACACGTACAAAAACACAATGAAGCAATAATTATTCACTCAAAACCACAATTGATATAATCTGTATGTGGGACGAACAACAACACCTTTTACTGTATAGTTATCTCTTTATACTCTACTAACAACTTGAGACATTTATTTAGAATGTTACTGATATAAACTATAATGCTTTCAAATATTAAAATTGGTACCGTTTATCGAAAAAATAATAGTTTTTTTAAGAACTCCAGTTTCTCAGTACTACATATAAAAATTACATCAATAAAGATATAATCAAACCCTCACGTATAGTCAAAGTCGTGTTCTTGTTGTGAGGAGAGTACTTTTATGTAAAACTGTGTTCTATTATAAAGAAATTGTTGCACATACCACAGTTGTTTTTCTAATTGTCTGAATCTTGAATACTCAAAGTGTGAAATTTTTTATGGATTTTTGTTTCTGGTGCCATTCAATAGATGGCACAGGAGTTTTAGTTACATACATAGATACTGACATACACGCTACGTGTATCATAGTAAGATTTACAAAGAAAGGACTTAAATTTCACTTACCAGACAAAGAGTTTAAATGAGCTCGAGAGAGAGAGCTAACCAAGAGATCATAGTATTTTATGCCAAATTCTACAATACTATATTCTCGGAACAAGTGCGCCACCTATGTCACTGTTGATCAATCTCATTGAAACATAAGTGAGGCTTTGACCTCGAGATATCACCTGAACTACCATTGGAAGACATAACAGTCTAAATTCTCGCACAACATTCAACCTTACAGTCATACTGCTTATTTTATTAGCAGGAGAGGTGTTATCTTCAGATATGAGAAAGGAATAAAGGAGCTACAACGCTACAACTGAATGATTTTAATGAATTTTTGATCACATTTTATGTTAAACAGCATATACTCAGAAATAGCTGATAAATTTAAGAAAATGTTATATTAAAGTAGAAAGGTAGAAATATTTATATATCACACTTTCCTCCCTGCCCTACTTCAGACTGGTCCTAAAGCCAAAAATTAATTTTCTATTTAATACTAAAAATTTGAACATATGCACTGGTCAAGGACTACCATAACTATCTCTTGCCTCTGTAAACCGTTACACGCAACACAGATGGCACAACCCTCTAACAAAGAAATACAGTGCACTTTCAACTCTTTGTCATTTAAAATCATAATATACAATTGGAGTTAGCAAAAACACCCTTAAATATAGAAATACCGTACATTAAGAAAAACCTTTTAACACAGATGTAAGTACCTACTGCATAGCCCTTTAAACATAGATACATGACAGATTATACAACAAAATACCTGTTGAACATTGATAAAATACATCATTATACACTTCAACATGGAAATGGCTCAGTCCAGGCATTATTTAAAATCTCATAAACTAGCCTTTAACAAAACTAAATACATTAATCAAGTGTACTATATAACATTAAAAGCATTTTGCAAACTTAGAACATATTACATAAAAACAGAACCTTGAAATATCGATAACATAATGAATTACCTACATATAAACCCTTCAACATAGGTTAACATGAAACAATACAGCAGCCCCTTTGCCAACAAAATCATATTACAAAATGAAAATCAACCCTTTATTGCATGAATAAAATAAACCCTTTAAAATTCGTAGTAAATGTTTTGAACCACATGAAACTAACCTCTCAGCAAAAGTACACGCAAATATAGGTAATACAGGAAAAAAAAAAAAAAACT